GGAATGAGAAAGGACTGTGCCAACACTGGAAGGGTCCAGTGTCTGCATGTGCATTTGCAGGTCGGTACATGTGTCTGATGACTTCATAATTGTGCAATTAAAGCAAATTCCCATTGAAAATGTTAATATCTGTCAAGCTGCTTGTGGCTGACAAATGCCTTTTATGTTGTGTTTGGCACATATCACCCAGAGTGTTTCGGCATGCACTGGGTTACTTGCACAACCTTCGTTTAGACTGATTATTGTCAAGGAGAAGAATTCTCATAACCTCTTTGAATCTAAAAAAGAGAGTTTAGAAAAATACTTGATATATATCCACTGAGACAAAAAAGAAAGAACATACTTTACTTCTTGAACATGACAATATTTTTGTTGTATTTCCTAAAGAATATGGTTCTATGGCTTTAGAGGATAGCATGTGCAAAGCAAGTGGTCTCTTGGATGATATAAAGCATTCGTCTCCTGCTCCTGTTAAACATTACACAGGGGGTGTGGCTCTGATATGTTTCCCATTCCAATATGAATTTTTTCATACCCAATACCCCAAGTAACAGCTTTCCTTTTACAGTGCTTTGAGAAATAAAAAAGTGTTTGTTATGTCTATTGTCTGCGTTAAATAGACAGATTTACAATGAACACAATGTGCAAAGGCCATCTGTCCCATGGTTGGCCAGGGCACTTCAATAAACAAAAGGAGGATTTGATAGAAAGGTCAGGTATGAGGAGTACTGGCATGACCAAGTTTATATAAAACTCCTACCACATAAAAACAGCACTGTGGACATATGCTGGACACAGTGTCTTTTGTTAGGGAACCAGATCTTTATTTAGCTTCCAACAAAAATTTGACACCTTAACACACAACGGCACAGGAGTTCCCTGAAGTCATGAATACTTAATTGGCGACCTTTCGGATCCTCTTCTTGGCAGTGACAATTTGTGATCTTCCACTCAGCAGTTGAACGCAAAGAGGTCCATATACAGAGAGACAAGACGAAAAAACTCAGCTCACACTCACCGAGATCCCTAGTATGTCATCATGCCTCAAGCCTCTCATCACATCATTGTGGACACTTACATTAATCTAAACTGTATTTAAAGGGGTAGTAAGCAGTTGTTATGCGATAACTGAAGAGATCATTCTTTAAGTTCATGTAAACAGAGATATATAATAAAACAGGCATCATAGCCATCATTATCCTCATTTCCAACATGCCACCCACAGACCCACTCACAGGATGAAGAGGACTGAGGCCCGACAAGCACAGAGCAGCAACTATCCTTAACCTCTTAATCACAACATATATACCCCTAATATACCTCTTATAAACCTTTTAAACACAACATATATGCTCCAATAACAATGTGTTTACTCACTATTCCTTCTGCTGTCAACAACAAAAGTATTTCAATAACACAAGGACTTCTTTGATCAGACCAAATTAGCCTCTCTGGTTGACAAAGAAATTCAACATAAACTAGTGTCACAAGTGTTTCACACAAAAACTAAGTAGTGGGATTCTTTGGAATTCAGTGCTGATCATAGTCAGACACAGCCACTGCACAGTATTGTATAGAAGGCAGAGATAAGGCAAGCGGCAGCGAGAAAACAGAATGGATATTTGTTCAATGTGCATGCCCTTTGACTCCACATTTACAGTTTTTCTTTTTCAAACTCAATCAGACTTGATCTGTTACCTTGATAACAGAGCTTTGAAGCCTTATTCCACCCAGAAAGAGTACACCAACTTTGCATCGCCCACAGTTGAGTGTTTCAACAAGTTCCTCAGTAGGTTTTATTTCAACAAAGAAAGTGACAAAGACCTTGATTAGTCTGAGTCCTGGTTACACAACATGAATTTGTTATCTTTAGAACAAATTTGACTTTTGTATGGACAATTGACTGAGCACTGAGCAATAACCTTCACAAGTAAGCTCCAACAATGACTCGTGACATGATAATTCTCTTACCTTGTATGAAACTAGAGGTCCTCCCTTGCATGTAACTTTAGAGTCAGGGACTCTTTAGCTATCAGTTAATCATGCATGAACCTGTAGAAATTCTGGCAAGTAGGAGCAACACATATGCCCCAGGCCTGTGCTGAAATATAAAGCCATTCACTTATCATCAATTCCAGAGTTCCTGCAGGAGATCAAAGAGCTGGAGAACATGACAGTATATTATATCTTAAACTAAATGAGTAAGCCATCTGCAGACTGCCCCAAGGACAATAATAATCAATAAATAATCAGATTCAGGAAGATGAATGTTGTGTGGTCTTACAATATAATATCATTGTATAACAACTTATGATTTTTAGCCAAACCTGCAAAGTTTACCAACCTTGAATAATCACACTGAGGCTAAAACAATCTTTCTATATATACAGATATAGATATGCATATATGTAATTGTATCTATGTTGCGCTGAATCACAACAAATGTCACCTTTATGCACTTCAAAAACACAGTCCAATTCAAGACTATCTGAATCCAGGTCATTGTAATTCAATTAAAAATCTGATTTGTTCAAGTTGATGAATTCCAAATATATCCAATTCACACAACCAGCAGATTGCAACAAATCTTCTTCTCAGTATAATTTCTCATCCTGGACGTCCATGTGGCCACTTTACAAAGGAAAGATAAAAGAAATGACTCCCAACAGAATTAGAACAGCCATCTTACACAGGTAAGAATTAAATAAAACATGCAAATCAAATATCCTATCAAAGCTTGAAGTAACTATCTATGAATGCTCTGTTTATACTGAGTCACTCTGTTACAATGAAATCAGATATTTACTTAATTTGTCATGACCTGTCTGCAATAACATCCAACAGGGAACATATTCTACAGACTTGGCAAAGAGCACAAGAGTGACAGATAGAGGTCTTTGAAGAAATTCAACTCAGTCTGTGCCCACAGATTATTACATATAGTACACACCCATCCAGATGAATTGCTCCACAGCTCGATAGAAATTCCTATCTGATGTGCTTTTCAAGGCTGAAACAATGCTGTGACAAACTTGCGCAGCACCAAACTTTTATTATGTTTGGCTAAACTGACGCTGCCATCTTTTTGACACAAAGCAGGAAGACGCCCCTGGTTACGTTTGCTTATTTGTTTAACAAACTGCCTCAGAAGTGTTAGACTTTCAACTTGCGCTCTTTTGTTTGAAACAGAATGTCACTGAAAAGGAAATGGTGTGGATCTACTATGTTTTCCTCCGCTCATCTGTATTTTCTTTCCCTTAAAATATGCACTATACAACCAATATAGCACCCAGTGCCCACTTTCAGCCAAAACGGAACACATTCAATGGTCTGGGATACGGAGCGGAGACCTCCAAAGCTGTATGCCAAGATAAGTCTGAATGAGGGATTCATTGAAATTTCTCCTCTTTTCTTTAGAGTCTCACCCACAAAAGCTCTGTTTTCCATTCAGAGGACAAGGTCATTAGATAATACACACAAGGACCCCAAGGCCACAGAATGGGGGTGGGATCGTTCAACAAAACAGGACTCCTATCCTGCTTCATATAAACTTGTCAATGCCTTGGGGTCTATACAACTGTCCCTGCAGGATGCATAGGCTCCAGCAAAAACAAATGTATTTGCATGCAGTAAAATAAAATCCTTCTAAAACACATACATGCAGAGGGCGAGACTCCTAACTCAATAGTTTGACATCACTGCTTCCCCACCCTCCTCCTGATTCCATCACAGCAGTTATTTAAGTTCACTTACTGAAACCTGAACAATGTCCCTCATTATTGTTTCTCTCTCTCTCTTTTGGCTAAATACAAGCAAACATGCTTGTGTCTGGTTTGGAAACCATGCGATCTGTGAGGTACTAGTTTGGATCTGTTGCTAAGGGACATAATCTCCATAGTGATCCTGGACATGGACATTTTCTCAAAAAATGTCAGAAACACAGTAGAAACAAAGTGAGAAGGAACACCCAGTAGATAGAATCCGTTCTATTTGAGCATGTATGTGCCCTGAGGCCATGGACAATATTTTCCTAAACTATCCACTGAGTGGATACATAGCAGGACAGGGGTCATGGTACTTGCACAAGCTGAGAAGACACTAATGACATATTTGTCTCTGGACATTTATTCACACAATACTAACAGGGAATATAACAGAGAAAGAAACCGCAAGTAAATTAGCTGAGTGGACTGGTATTGTTTGAAAGGATGGATATGTCTCTTTATAGACAGACCAGCTCAACTCTATGACCAAAGAACAGCACGAACCAAGTGTCATGTGCTCAGGTTACAGCACTGAAGTACGGTTCCACATACCAACAGCATCTTATACACTAAAACTCATAGACATGCATTTCCATGTTTTTCACAATGCCATGGTGTTTGCTATAAGATAATGTTCTCATGTTAAATGTTTTAACCCTATTTTAATGTTGTTTTTCACCCTACACAGATAATAGTTTAATATAAAACAGTGTGAACAATACAAATGTAGCATGTAATCCATGTTCATAGATTGGTTTTATGGGACCTGTGCATGCTACCTGGACTTTAAGGACTTTCACCCTGACAAACCATTCCTGTCAGGGATCAGCGTGTGAACAGATAGAGGATGTTAATGTGCTGCGTCCTCAGCCGCTCCATGGCGCGTCACGGAGGGCATCTCAAGTCAGCCCATCACCTTCTTACTACAACCTCTCAACATAATATTGTAAATACAAGTCTAGATCGCTTGTTGTGGCTGTGTTGGCCGCTTGAACCTCATTGGCTGGATTAATTCTAATCAAGACGTCGATTACGCAACGGCCACTCTGTACACAGTCGCCTTCGACTCAGATAAGATGGGAATATAAAAGTTTTGTTACGGTCGACTGCATTTGTAGCTGTCCAATTTTTTTTTTTACACGCACGGTTGTAGAGGGTTTCTTCGTAACCTTAAACGAAATAAAAGCCTCTTACGCTGTCGTACTTCATTTATCATTTATCAAGACTGTGCATTACCAGTTTGTTGAGGAACGAGGGTTGAGGATGTCCTCTTTGGCCGTGAGCAGCGACAGATTGTAGGTATCAAGGTTGACCGTTTGTTTGCTCATGATGGCAAAAGTTTCCAGACCACTCCCGCAGCTTCTGTGTTCACCGGTTCCCGATATTTTTCGGGGTTGGATTATCGGATGGAAACGGCTACAGCGTAATACAAGAGAGTCGGCTAAGAAACTTGCACAAAAAAAAGTATGCAGGTTCATGCAATGCAGTTGTAAGTGGGAGCGATCTCTGCAGGCGCTGCGCGCTCACAGCGGAGAGGAGCCTGTGAGTGCACGCTGCTCTTTGTGCAACTGGTGGAATTAAGTTTTCACAGAAAAGCCCCACCTCCCGTTGAGAGAGTGGAAAGCATAATGACTTCACTGGCAGAGTCACTTGAAGGAAAGGTGCAACTCAGCGACTCCACAGCATGTACAGGTCACACACAAGTCTTATTTTATCCCTTTATGAGATAAGAACAATATTAGAGCATTTGCTTGCAAAAGGCAAAACGTTATTATGTGAGTGCATCACACCATCACACCCTGTCAGCAAATAAAAGGGGATGTGAAAAGTAAAGATTTTTTCATTTTTTTGTCTTAATTGTAGTTCAGTTGATAGAAATATAAAAGGTTGGTGTCATTTTAGAGGGGCTACAGGCAGTGAAGCAGGTTCAGATCTGGCAGACTCCTCTATTTGTCTTCATCTTTGCCGGCTCTCCAGGATGCCAGAAACTGTGCAGATCAACTCACAAAAAACTAAATAAGACAGTTTCAATCGAACTTAATCATAAGAACGGAAGGTCCAAGACATAGGTTTTTTATTCTCTTGGCATTTTATGCAATCATCATACTCAGAATTTGTGCCTTCAGTCAGTACCCATGTGGTGCAAAATTCGGCCAAACACTTCCTACAGTTTGCAGCTATCCACTGATTTTTGCCAGTGGGTTACTAGCACAAGGGTTTAAGATCTTGGATTATGTGAAAGTTCCTGAGCTCTTTAATTTACTTAGCAGATATTCTTAGATAATCCATGGCAGATGCAGAGGACAAAAGTCTAAGATTGGATTTGTCCACATGAAATATAACTTTTCTACCATGTTATCTTTTGCCAAACAGTTTATAATAGCTCAGTAATCCTTAGATTAATTTACTTTAGGAGTGGCAGAGTTAGTGAATGCAATCACTCATGTGAGGACATCTCCTTTTAAGGCAAACACCCTGCATTATATTTCTTATTTGGATATTTTTTCTGGGTATATTTCAATATGAATGAGACAATTTATAAAAACACAATAATAATGACATGTTTTAGAGTACTGACTTAATTTCAATAAACTAATTGAAGAAACAGTAATGATACATCTGATATGAAACTACAAGACTCCAATCTATTTTATTTTAGTATTTCCTGAACCCTCACTTATGACACAAGCATTCAACCATGCAGCACAGTCATCATCCGGCCCTGTTTTGTCTGCTGTCTGCAAGCCAAACGGACAAGGAGTTTGACATCCCCATACCACTATTATTCTTACAACTTCCTGCTATTAGAGGCTCTCCTGCATTTCTTAACTGTGGAAGTTAACTGCAGTGCTGTTATGCTCCACTTCAGAGGACTTTGGCATTTCCTCTGCTGGGGTGCGGCGGCAGCTGTTGTCAGAGATGGGGTCTAAATGTAGGAGTTTTGTATGTCCAGTGGGGATTTGGACGTGTTGGTGTGTGTTGCTGTGGGCTAATGGGGATTTTCTCCTCATTTACTGAAACTGCTTTTCCAATTGTGAGACACTTTATGTCCAGCTTCCTCCCTTCTTGGCACAGCTTAAACCATTACTTTAAGTGTGGATGACAAGGTAATGAGTGACCAAGTCACACAGAACATCCTCTGAAGCTCTGTTGGTTACGCTGCTGACATACAAGAATCATTATTAAAACTTTGTGTCTCATTGTTATTGTGATATTTGGTTGTGATTTCTGCGATTGTTCAGGGCAAAAAGACTATTTTTATTCTGAACTGACAACATAAGCATCTATCACCAAACACTATTCCTTTTTGACTTGGATACAAATCTTTCCACCTGCCGGTTTATGTGTACTCAGACTTGGTTGGAAGCTTTAAAAAAGATTAGAGATATTTTCAAGTATAGATTCCACAATCGTGAACCATGCTGTCCTGTTTTACTGCCTTTCGTGGAGAAGGATTTCCATAGTTTCTTTCTACACATGTTTAAAGGCCAGTGCTTGGGTTCTTTCACATGTGAGAGGGGTTTCTGGCACATTGATGGGCGCATGAACGGTTGAAAAGGTTTTAATGTTTCTTCAAGTTGTCATAAATAACTTTAGAGCAGTTATTACACTGTGCTGATATTAACACCAGCTGTTTTTCACAGAAGTTGTGCATGATCTTATCTTTTTGCACCTTGAAAGGGTAAAATACAATATATGTTGTATCAGTTTTCTTATTATTTAACCAAAAAGTAGATTATACATGCAGAGTTACATTTCAGGACATGTATTATTCTTGTATTAGGCTGAATCAGTATATCCCTTAAAATGTACCTAGCATAAAAAACTATATATATGTGAATGTGTTTCATTTTTCTTGTTTATTGTTATATTTAAAATGTTGTTTTGGAATGATTATTCATTACTCTCGTCTCTCTTTTTCTTATTATTTTTTCCTGCATGTGTCAGTGATTTATAGTTGCACAATTACAAGCTGCAAGTCCAATTTTGTTTGACAATGTACAGTGGTTAATAAGTCATTTAAGTCATATAATCTATTGCTAATGTTTTGTCATGTATATGTTATATCTCTCAATCTAAATCAGTCAGAATCTTTCCAGCAGACTATGTTTGCAATATGTTAAGCTCACTAACATCGATTCATATGGATGTGCAAAAAGATGATGAGATGAACTGAGGAATAGACTCACAAGTGGTGCTGACAAGTGCCACAAAGAGGAAATAACACCAGTCACAAGTAAATACCATTTGTCAGACAGGGAAACTCACCAATCCATCAGCAGCTGGGGCTAAATAGCAATGACGTTCCCTTAGAAGACAATTGGGGTCAGTTTAGGTGCCAGACGGGTGTGTTGGGGAAGGAAACTTCAAAGATGAAAACAAAAGACACTGGTTGAGGAGAAAGAGAAAAGGCAGCAGAGTCAAAGGCATTTTTTTTGCCTGTGTATGTGCCTGTGTTGGAGACAGAGAGGAGACATCTGCACATGTTCTGGGAATCAGGGTGTCTTCTCATCAGGCTTCCAGGTGAGGTCACTGCTCAGCTATGCAGCTTCCCAACAACCTTGAGATATCTCTCCCCAGGGCCTCGATGTGTACACAAGTGCAAGCATGTGAGTATGTCTGTGCAGTTTTTAAATCACACTCTCTTCTGTACCCACATGGAACAGGATTTTCCAAATGAACTCCTTCTGTTGGTTTTTATGAGCCTGAGTAAAATACAGTCAAATACAACAAGCTCAAACAAATGCTAAGATTTCCGCAAAAAAAGTGACCCTGCGCCTGCTTTCTAAAACAAAATAGCCCCTGAAATTAGAGCATTATGAAGCATTCACAAACTTTGCTGCATGAGGCCAACATTTAGAGATGTTTGTAGGGTTCGAGGGCTGTTTTGTTTACGGAGCAGACCTCAGGGAGGTTCACAGCAACATCATGTAAATGATATGCACTTTAAGTTAGGCTGAAGACAATCAGGGAGGGGCTGCCATCAGTAAGTTGACTTCTTTATTATATACTCTAATTTCTTCGAATATTTGTAATATTTTTATGTGTTACTGCTCACCGTTTAAATCTTTGCTCTGAATCGTATTTCCTTTTGGTGGCAAACATAAACTTTAAAGGATTTATAATCAATCACACACATCTCTCTGGTATTTCAAACCTCCTCAGACTCCTCCGTTTTTACTTGAGGACCAATACATCTGTCGGTTGACTACAACCCACCAATTTCATAAAAATCCACTGCTTTCAACTGTACAAAAGCGTAATTTACTCTCAATTCAACACATCTCATCTGCTACCAAGAGAATTCTGAGCAATGCAATCCAGATGTGGTGAGGTCAGCTTTTGTCTGTAACTCTAAAGCTGTGCTCAATGAGGCTGTGGTGCGAGAGCAGGGGCAAGATTTGTGGGAAATCTGAGTGCAGCCCATGGCTCAAACTTGTAATGCAGCATGCATGCAGGTCTGTAATCAGTCTTGAAACTGATGATGGTGGCCATGCCTACAAAAAGCTAGCAAATTCCCCATTTATAAGCAAATAAATGGGAAGCTGGTGAACTGTGCGTCAGCGTCTAGCAAAGATTGCCAGCCGGCATCTTGACAAGCACGTTTTCCTGGAAGAGTTAGAGGAGTGTTAGTGTAACACACACACGCCAAGATGGCAAATGGACTAAAATATTCCATTGCATGCAACCGCCACCTTCCCCTTGTTATTCATCTAATGTTACAGATCACCAGCCACATCACTAAACATCTCCATGACAACCTCTGCCCCCATGTTTCTGTGGGTTTCTTTGATCATTTACCAGACTTTATTAAATGGCCCAGCTCGCTGGGTGTTGATCCTGATGATGCTCGCACTCAGGCAGCAACTAAGGAAAAGTTGCTGACTCAGTCTCTTTATCATCTAAAGATTTTAGAGGAAGGCTTGAAATGTCGTAAAGGCAGCGTATGTGTATATGTGCGTCATATGACTGAGTTACCAATTCCACCACCTTTTTCTTTTCTTTCTTTCTTTTTTAAACTCAGCATATAAATGTTGTTTCATTGCTGTTCTGGAAAAAATCTGGTTACCTCTCGACAGGGGCTCTGAATTGTATGTCTGAGTGTACAATGTGTGGAAAAACAGGTAACAGTGGACTTGAATCTGATTTTTTAAAAACATCTTTGACATATACAAATGCTTACTTAGTTTAGAATAAAATCTACTAAAGTCCAGTATTCCACTGAGGTAGCACAGTTTCTTCTTTCCCACTAGGTGGCACAATGTCACTAAACTCAGCATATGAATCAGCATGCAGTATTATTCTGGACCAGAGCATCAAGGAAGACAAAAGGCCGCAGAAATGTGCGACATCGTTTGATCAATCAAGATTATAAGATTTTATATTGTGTGCTGCAGTGATAATCATCCATTTTGCCTGATTCAGTTTTTTAAAGTTTGTCAATAAAACTGACCATGGAAATAAAGGGGGATAGACAAGCTGCGGGGCCCCAGGAGAACAGGGCCTGTTACAATGCAACTTTACCAACATACAAACTTTCTAGCAATAAATGATGGGGAGGGTTAACTGCTGCATTCTAACATTGTCTTGTTCAGTAACATTCCAATTAGACTAGCTGGAAAATCTCCACAAACAGTCCAGCATGAATGCTTGCTTATTGTTCCCCCAAAGTGACTCTGGAGAATGTCAGGGATGCAGCTCTGTTCACTTGTAATGCGGTCAATCGAAGAGGTAAACAAACCATCAGATTTATTATAACTGGCTGCTAATACAGTGTTTCAACAGAATATCCCACCATCAATGAGTTCCAGAATGACCTTTCTGGAGTCTATCCCAGCTGACCGTGGGGCCAGAGGCCGGGTTTGCCCTGGACAGGTCACAAAGCTGTCGCAGTCAATGGCCACCCCAAACTACAAATTTGTTCCAGATCTATCTCCTAGTTTAACTTTTAACCTTCAACCTAAACAAATAAAAGATCTGCAAACCTATAGAGAATTCTGCACAGTTTCTTTAATACTTTTTAATAATCATGGTTTATAATGCAGATTTTCTTTGACTCTCAAACAACTAGATGTAGTTGTTATACAATGGATGTTTTGTTTGCTAAAACCAATGTATGTGGCTGTCCAATAAAAAAAATATTTAATTAAATTTGCAACCATTATTCTTGTGTTATCCTAAATTGTGTTTTTAGAATTCATTCTGTCTCTTTATTTTCATATAGAAAATTTGATTTAAGCTTATCTTTGCGCAATGCTTCATTTTATGACACCATGGCTACGGTTATTTTAAGAAACTCTCCCCAGAAGACAGCAACAACCTCCCTCTTTCCCTTATCTACACTGAGCTGAATTCAATCCCAATATGTTTATTGAAAACAGACACATGGACAACAGCACAAACACTGACACAAATTCAAAAGATTAACATTTTTAATAAAATTCAAGTCAAACATCAAAATACTGAAATGGCAAAAAAAGGAAGAAACTCTTTTTTCTACATTTCTTTTTTTTTCATTTTGTATAAATCACAGTGGTTGAAAAATATTACAAAATTTTTGTTTCAAAACAGTTTTTGCAACAGCAGCAAAACATTCCAATTCTTTGTTTTAGTTTTTTAGTTTATATTTCCTCTGAAGCCCTTAATATTGTTTGTGAATGTGCTCCTTTCTTTGACTTTCATCATAATAAACAATAATGTAAGCAATAAATGTTAATAATACTCATATGAGTCAATGGAAACAAAAGTGCATAACAATACTATACATTATATACGATCCACTTAAAATTACAGTATAGACTGGGGTTAATCACATCATGTCTGTCAATATCAACAACTTCTGTCCATACGATACAAGTATACACTAACTTAGTTAACAGATACAGTGTGGTGAGAATTTAAAAGGTGAGGGGTTATTTCCAACTGAAACCTAAAATAAAATAACAACACTGTGCTGTACTTTGGATAATTACCATCTTTAAAGCATAACACATATAGCTGTCAAAGCTAATATCTGCCTTTAATCCAACAGTTGTTCACAGATGTTGTTCTCTAACTAAAGAGAGACTGAGTCTATGCATGACTGCAACATTCGCAGATAAACAAAGGAAGCAATACAATACATGACAACATTTGGCTCAGAGACAAAAACCAAGTCAAGAAAGTCAGATGTTTTATGCAAATCAAGAAATCAGGCTAATATAAAGACAAAACACAAAAAAATTGCGTTAGGCTACATAGTAGAAAGTGCAGGCACCTTAAAGAGTGCAGAGACATTATTAAAAAACTGCTGGTTTGCTGGGTTTCTTGGTCATTTCTGAATGTCTATTGCGTAATTCTCGGATAAATAATATTACATACACAATTTTTAAATCTCCATATCCTATCTCCATAACACTGGAAGTTTTAACTAACACCCTAAAAGTCGGGAAGAGCCTTATCACTATATTTCCAAGCCACTGGCCAATCCACTGAAGCTATAACATAATGTATATTCAGAAAGAAAAGAAAAAAGAAGAACTACCAAATTGAAATACTCATGCTTATTTCTTGACTTAGCTAACATTAACTTGTGTCAAGAGAGCTACAGGTGCCGTGCCATTAGCCTGCACACAAATGAAAGAGTGAGACTTCACTGAAGGCACAGGAGAGAAGACACTAAACTTAAAACAAGGTTTCCTCTCAGTCACTAAGCCTCACATGCTAATATGAAAGTCAGGCCTGTGAAGAAGGAAGAACTGGTATGTCTTAAAATATTATATCAGTAAAAAGAGATATAACAAAGTCAATATACCTATGTCCAACATGATATTGTGAGTGATGTACCTTTGGCTTACACAGGTCAGTGTGGAGCACAAATTGAGGGCTGAACTAAATTAAAAAGTTTTATTCATCTCACCCTATGCTTAACAAGTGGGTTTCTAATTTTTTCTAGCAACTCCATATGTGTTTTCTACAATTTTCACTTTAGTATGGACTCAATTTGTTTTCTATTTCACATTTCCCCATAACCAAAATATTAAGTAATCACAAATAAGGTACCAACAATAATTGCTAGAAGGCGCTACTGTTTATAAGGTAGCCTCTTTCTCTTGTAGGAAACATATGCTCCACAGCTACTCGGTCAACAGCAATTCAGGACTTGCTTAATATGTGAAGTCTTGATCTGTTTTTCCTTTTTATAACATAGTATACTAAAAATAATAGGAATAAACTTGTCATAGCATACAGCGGGGAGATGTGGCACTCAAAACCAGCAATGGTTTTAAGCTTATGTTTGATTTTTATGCTGCTACCATAAGTTTCACCAGGCTTTAATCAGGCATATGAGAACCTCTGTGGGGTTCTGTGCCAAAAAAGACCTTAAAGAAGCCTGATGAGTGCTGACTCAGCTCCTCGGTCCTACACTGGCATTGATTCATGCAAACTACGGAAAGAAATAGTTACTTACAATAAAGAAGAAAGTGCATTCCAAGACAGATTTACATCAACAGATAGGCCACCATGCAAATTGAGCACATTCAAATCGTGGTTGCACCCCACCAGCACACAGGCCAGGCAGTGCTTTTCAAAAGCTTTCCTTTTCTCAAAGTCAATGTTTTTGTCTAATTAAACAGTCCTACAGAAGGCAAAAAAAAAACTGCCGTATTTTTAACACTGCTTCTCTGTCACCTTGTCAGAGGAGAAACTTCTGCATAGTACCAGTTCCAACTATGAGGGAACACAACCGTCAAGGTTTGTGCGATCATGGAACGTCATACAGATATGACATGATCATCATCTGCTGTATTCATCATTGTTCACAGGTTTGAACTAAGATGTTTTTAAAAATTCCAAATTAGTATCCAACCAAGGCACATGAACCAAAGGTGGCCAAATGGGCTATAAAGACTAAATGAGTTGTTGGGGGATCAAAGAGGCAATGAAAGTCTAATATTTTTTTGCTCCTTTTCAGGTCTCCTTTCTGAATTCCAAAAGTGCTGCAGCTGAATAACGTTGTATTATTCTAATACATAGCAGCTAATTGTGAATTGATTTACCCTTGTTTTTACTGTTTTTAGAGAGGATCAGCTCAATTTTCACTTGGGCCCTGTGAGATCTTATCTGTTTTCTATTTTGGGAGCTGAAAATGACTTTACACACCTCCCTTGGAAAACGGCAGAACACACCACATGCCTCACTCACACAATCTGTCTCCTACAGTTGTCTGGGTAAAGCTGAGGGGCGCAAACCCACAAATAGAACAATGTGCTAATAGAAAGTCACCACAGCATTGCTTTTCTCCTTCTTTTTTTTGTTTTGTTTTACATTCTGTACAAAACCCCAAAGAAAATAGCACCCTTAATAAGAAAGTAAAATGTGTAACACCTGCTTATAAATGCAGAAATCTAAAGCTTATTAGATTTACTATATTAACTATGACCTCTTACATATGTTTGGAAATAGAGAGGAGACATTAAAACTTAGAAACACTAATGAAATTTGAATATCATCAATCTTTGCATGGTCTCTGCTGGTAAATACTAAACAACTAGTCAGATGTTTGAAGACTCAACAAAAAACCACCTGCATGTCTGCTTGTGTTCATGTGGACACAGTGTTTTAAGCACCATTTTCAATTCCAGCAACAGGAATGGAAGGCGATGTCTAACAGTGACACTTTTCTCCCGGTACTGAATATTGAAAATGCCACCCATCACAAAAAAGAGGAAGAAGACATTATAAGATGATGTCTGAATCCCTGAATACTCTCAAATATCATCCAGCAATGACTTTTTCTTCTAAAACTCCCTTACCCTTTCCTAAAGAAAGAACAGAAATGAGGAAAGTGTAAAAGAAAAACCACAACTTTGGTACTCAAATCACGTAACAAACCATTTCGCAATCGTAGTTTTAAAATTCAACAATGACAAGGTGGATGTGCTTAAGTTTTTCTCTTTGTTTATTTTTGCCAATGGTCTGCCTAACTGAATCTAGAGTGAAGAAGCACAAGAATAAAGACACGTTAGGTTAGTGCCAGGGCCCTGAGCAGTGCTGCCCCTCGTGGTGTAGGGGCGTAAAGGCAGACTGGCATAGGTGCATCAATGCAACCTTGTGGTTGTGGACGTTTAGTACTATATCCTTTTTATCCTCCGTGGCAGAAGTATCGGGTAAGGTTAGCCCTCTTTATGCAAGTCGTTGCTGTAGAGTGGCAATGTGATGGTATCAAAAAGCAGTTTGATGAAACCAACTCATCACAAAGAACTTGTGTCTTGCTTTTTCTGAAGTGTGGTATGCAGAATAATGGGGTGGGAGGAACACCAGTCTTAAAGAACCGCTTTAAGACTGTCCAGGCTAGTTTTTCACCATCAAATCTATTTGCTGGAGTATTTCAATTAAATTGTTTAATGGGTACCACTGCAGTTTTGTATTTGCTGTTCCAAAGGCATTTATTCACTTCCTTGGAGTATTTTATCTGTTACCCTGATAATAGTGCCCTAAGACAAGCATAAATATGCTAAAGTGGTCAACTAATATTTAAACAAAAATAACTATTCTGTGTCCCTTCCTCGGAGTCCAGTGCTGGTGTTATAAGCATGGATCAAGGTCATGGATCTGTGTTCAAGATAACAGTCTGTGTAGAAGTGAAGGCAGAGGTAAGCTCCCCCAAAAGGGAGAGGCAGTGGTCAGTGTGTAATAGTCATTAAGGTCAATGTGAAGGATTGAGACTGAGATAGAGAGCCCTTGCTCCCAGTCCAATCACTCAAAGGCTGGGAGGGAATAAAAGGTTGCACTGTACTACCGCAGGCCTTTAAAGATCAGGGCATCTGGGAAGCACGCATACTTGGAAGCATCACACAATCGCACTACCCCGCACACATACCCACGCCTCCAGCACATACTGAGTTAACATCTGTCGCATAATATACCAGAATGCACGCACGTGGTCGCCCACGGTTATGAAGAGGCACATACATTCCCCCCGACATGCAGAAATTCAGGCATATTAGGAGCTATTTCTCAACTGATTCATTTTTCAGAGCCTTCCTCCTCACTTTACATTCAAGAGGGGATTAGCTTTCATAAGTGGGATGATCCAGGTCTGAACGAAGAGGTTAGTGGAATAAACCCTTCAGGAGACATGTGGGGAGGAAGAGGGGTGCCTCCAGAAACACCAGCCCCGTTTGGTGTGTTGCTTACGCAGGATCTCCTCCTCACGTTCACGCTCCTTCTGAGAGCGCAGATAGCGATCTTCCTCCTTCAAAAACCACACAGGAGGCCAGCGCTGCTTCTCAAAGTGCTTCTGGTTTTCTGCAGAGATTAAGACAAATACAGAAGGTGATTTGTGTCATGAATGATTAGGCAAAACAGTAACATTAACATGGCTCTGTTTAAATGCAGGAAGCCCGACATAAAAATGACTTTTTTAATCAAAAGTGATGTTGTTGCTTTTGTTATCATTTTCATTTACAGCTGCATTGCATCAATACTGTAACAAACACAGCTCTCTAAATTTGACCAAATGTCTAGTGTCTTCCTTGCAATTCGGTTAATCTTTAAGAGTCCCCTTTCTTTCAGTCAGATGTAAAAATGAAACTAACTGGGGGAAGCAATGAAACAGGTATGAGGAAGCAGTTCTAAAATAGGCTCTGCACTGTACCTGGAGACATGGCCTTCATGTCTTTGGGAAACTTGCGGCAGATGCTGTTATAATTAGTGCAGATGTGATGGAGACACCATGCTGAAAGTTGCTTGGCATTGTGGAACTACAAGAGGAAAAATGTGGGATTATAACTGCTCTTATAAGAAAGCTGACAATATACATATATGTATATGTATATATAATTAATTGGTAAGACAAGTTAAGACATAAACTGATGAAAATAATGTAACCCTTTTTTTCAAGGGGTCAAGAAAAAACAGACCTGTGCAAGCTCGAGGTAAGCCAGCACCTGTCCATCAACGTCAACTCCTTTCACTGTCAACTTCAAGAGCTCATCCACGGCGTGCTGCTCTGTAGATGCACAACACACACAGAACCGTTTCAGTGTTCTGTGCTCGATGAAACAAGAACCAGGGTTTTAATTTTTATCTCCAAAACTACAAAATCACTGTGCCTCTACCGGGAATAGCATTAACTACACCTAAAAGTGGGAGGACACTGAGTCATTAAGAAAAACATTTCTTGTGCTGCAGAGAGAGCCTTTACCAGTGAGAGCGACAAGGCGTGGCAAACAGAGACGGTTGGACAGAACAATTAGTTCTATGGGTTCCAAGCCAGGACAGGGAGTCAGCAGACCGCAGTACAGGAACTCAAGCACCCCACGCATGCAGGCTGAACTGGTGTTAGGAATGGATACCTGGAAAATAAGAACATACAGAGAAAACAATTAAAGGCCTGTATTTTTTTCTCTATTGATACTGAATTTGTCACACACACATCGTCATTAAATAACAGTGGAAGGAATAAACACAGAGCTGTGGGGATTAGAAAGTTAAGGGCAGAGGTCTTGGTTTCATCCCTTTTGATCTCAGCAGAGGTGAGAGCACAGGCTGGAGCTAATGATGTGAACAATATGGTCAGTTCAAAACACCTAATGCGCACACACACACACACAGAAATCTCATCAAAGTTTTGCACATATTCAGACACTGGTAAAATCTCCAGAGAGACTACTTATCAGAAAATCATCTGTCAACATGAGAACAATTACAATATGAAGCTTCGGAAGATTATACGAGATGACAGTGCTTCAGCTAAAGTATTTAGATTTCATTCAAAGGGTAAATGTTTAATAGTTAGGGGTAATGCTGACATCTGTTTTATTGTATAACACATTTTCATGTAATTATATAAATCCTGCCATATAAACCTAAGTCTCCAATGGCAATGGTCATGGTGCTTCTCTTTGTGACCAAGCCTCCCATTCTTGAAAGTTAACTATTTGTTCACAAAAAATAGAAAGCATCTATTATACAAAGTAATTACTGTCCATTAGGCCAATACCATTTCCGTGGCAAGAGGTCTAATCCCCAGGATAACGGAAGGAATGTAATTGGTGATGCGAGTGATGACCTGACCCCTTGAGGAGCTTTCATAGTCTACCCACTGTGGCCTTTTGAATATCCACATCCTTAACCAATTAGGAGAATGTCAGCCTGGCATGACCTCTTGCTATATTTAAAAAAGACAACATTAATACAAAGGTGGCCTCTCAAGCTTAAACCTCCATATGGTGCCTCAAAGTAATAATAAGTGGATAGAGGTGTAGATCCATCTTCTAAACAAATATGTGATCTTTTGCTCTATCAACCAAAATAAAAGTTCACTACTTTAGAGGAAGTTGGATCCAGTTGCACAGTGTATACCGAAAGTAATGTCACACTCTACTTGAAAGATACAGGAAATACAATAGCAAAAATAGCATGTGCAAATTATATAACTCTCACCAAAGAGGACAAAAAAGCTGTCTCTGAAGGGAAGTGAAATTTGTGCAATCAAAAGTGCAGAGGGGAAAGTAGCAAACATCCCATGGAAATGCGAAGTTGAACAGAAAAGTTGGAAAGTAAGTACATTTTGCCTGACATAAAGAACTCTAGTTATACTTAAGTCTAATAACGAATCCAGGAGTGTTCCATAACACTCTTAGTGCTTCTTTTGTCACAGCTACGACACAGACAGCATACCTCAATAACTTTTTTTATGTGGTTGCTTCACAATAAATAGAACCTTTGGTCGCTGCAGAAAAGCCTAAAGTATATAATGTCAATGCTGTTAATATGCTCACAAGAACAACTATAAAAATAGTTTTGAGCACATCTAAATGCTACTCTGCACAGATCATAATGTTCCCCATTGTCACATGGCAGAATGAAATGGTGCATGTGAAAAAAAAAAAAACACACACACACGATAAAATATAAACTAGCAGTAAAACTGGCAACTTTAAATGCCCACTGAAGGGCCTTTAACTCCAGCTTGTGGCTGCCATATACCGTCCACATTGCTAACTAGCTGCCAAAAGCCTTTAAAGATGCAGAAATGAGAGAAATATAGAACACAACAACAATGTTGCTCATAAACATGTCCTGACGGCAACATTTTACACCACTCTTTGAGTCTTTTTCTTGCTAAAGTCAAACCCTAAACAAGTGTTTAGAGTAACCATCCACAACAGCACCAAGACAGCACAAACGTGAGCTGATATCATAAATATATCTTAAAACATCATTGTCTGAAATAGGTTTTTACATTAAATCATTACATTTAGCTTTCAAGATCAATAGAGAAAAATGAATTTCTTTGTCAATTTCGTCTTTCTTTTGTGAATTTGTGAGAGTAACCTCCAGTTGCACCTCCGTCAGTAACCTAAACCTGCAGCTCTTGAAAGAAGTCTCTCAGATCTAGTTCTGTAATACAATCCAGTGAGTGTCAACTTAAAGGTAGACTCTAACTTCCTTTGCGGTTAGGTGGCAATCGGCATACATACACTGCCTAAAGAAACTGAGAGCACGTAATGTAATCAGACCTTCCATATGGAAAATGTGAATCTTGAGAGATAAGATTTTCCTACTTGAAGTTCAAAATGTTCAATTTAACATCATCATTCTGCTTTTACAGGTGTGAGCTTGCATACAAGCTTTTACTATTTCTAAAACAAATAATAAGTGATTGCCCATGAAATATGAAAAATCCCCAGTTATTTAAAGAAACATTGTGTGGTTTGGTTTCTTTGTCATGAAGCACACAGCCTGACAGGAAGTCAGCCAGGAAACATTTGTCAGTGTGCTAGTATGTTTATCCATGTGCAACTCTTACTAATGTTGTACTTGTCATTATCTTTCTGAAAAAATAAAGATTTACATGGACAAATTATTAGGAGGTACTTCAATGTTGGGAGCAAAATTATTTTGGGGAATTCTTATTTGTAGGTTAATTTCATATTTTGAATGTGGTCATCATCACGTACGCAAACCACCATTTACCTTGTAATTCAGAGGTTGGAGCATATCTGCAAGTGAAACGAAGGTTTGTAGGTCAGGCTGATAAAAGAGATAACCTCCAGCACAGTGGGAACGTGTACACATGTATTTGTACTTTACTGACGTGTTATTAAACACATCGCCAAAGTGATAAATCTCATCCTAATTAATCATATACCTTCACTTCATTGTCCTTCTTCCAACAGTTATATACTGACCACAGATTTTGAATTGACAAAATGCAAAAGGCATTCTTGGCCTTTCTGGTTTTGGCATTTGGCATGGATGAGGACACTCAAGACTTTTGAAAAAACTTCAAGTTAACTCCATCCTCGAACCCCCTCCCCAGCATGTCTGAACTCACCTCTTCAATGTAACTTTCCATGAATGAGCCGCGGAACATAGCAGCCATCCAGTCGCAGCTGGAGATGAGCAGGGGCTTGTGGGCTGGGAGGCAGCCATCGTCCAATCGGAACACCACATCTAAAACCGGGGTGGGAAAAGAGCGTTCATCTCGTGGAATGCCACAGAAGCCCACACTACAGAGGGGGGAAAGACAGACGAGGCACGCACCCAGACACCCACACAAGCAGACACATAGACACAGGTAGACAAACAAAGAGATAAATTGACAGTGGGACACAACAGCTTTTTGCTGAGACGAAAGGAAAGAGGGCTGATGCAGAGTTGAACGGTATGGAGCTGTTCCTGTATGGACTCAAGCTTTGGAAAAAAACTGTTTAAGTGGCAGGATGTCATAATGACTATGTGATTGTGATTGCATTCTCGTGGACTGCATATAAAAGCTATTAAATGTAATCTATCTGCGATGACTTTTAGTTAAACAGAGGGTAAAATATGTGTTAATGTTCATTATCAAACACAATTCCTAAAACATTTTTTGTCATCCCAAAAACAGCAAGGAAAGTATAAAGATTTGTTAATGTAGGAGCCTTCTCAGAGACAGTGGACATCTGATGTTGGCTGACCATACTGTGACATTGTGCAAAGAACACAGCCGAGAGGGACGGACAACACCACACAAGCACAAGAGTGTATGCACACACAGTAAGAGCAAATATAAGACAAACAGACAGACTGAGACAGAGGTAAATTATCATGTCAAACGATGATTTTGCACTTTTTACAGCAGTCGTTAAATGGAAATTCATGATCAAATGTACACAGCATGTACATTTTCAAAGAATGAACGAGAGCTTGAATTAAGATTAATCATTCCTATTTTTGTCAACTCTTGTTATCTTGACATTCACACACATAACCATGCTCTCTCTTATATACACATACACACGCGTAAACACAGACACCAATGATACCAGTGTTGTTGAAAGCACTGAGGCACTAAATGGGTGGTACTGAGGTTTACCAGCAAATGTCCCTTTATTGAGGAACTCTTTGATGCGGTTGGCTCTTCGGACGTGGAAGGCCTTGGTAATCTCCTGGTTCATGAAGCTTTCTCTGTTGAGAACGTTGGCCACCATCATCCGCAGGTCAAACACCTCCAGCAGCTCGGCGATGGTGGCCACCTGCATCAGGTCGCCTCGGCCTTCATCCAGACTGCCTGTGTACAAGTACTGAAGCACTGCCTGAAAAAGCACCAGATCAGGTTTAGAATGTATTCACATCAACACACGTTATAGGAGTAAAATTGGATTTTTTAAAAATAGGATTTTAAGTGTCCAATTGCTTCAAACATTTTCACCTTGAATGGTTCCTCTTGTATAAGTGCATCCATGGCTACCACAGTCATGAGTCGTGGCAGTCCAGTCATGGGATCGTCAACATGCTCCAGACACACACATAAGAACCCCCTTCCCCATCCTGAAAGGGCTCGGCCAGTCCCTGTCACTCCCAGGGAATACTGAGCCCGAGAGGGGAGTGCATTATCACTCAGGGAAGTCCTCAAAGAGCCTTGCTGGAGCAGCTGGGGTCGATTCAGGCCTCGCACTCCTCCATCTACTCCATCTTTATCAATGTCCAGGCTCTTAGTGCGCCCAGCTTGCTCCTTGGCTCCTCTCCTGCTCTGCTCCTCTTCCTCCCCGCTTTCCATGTTTTCCTTATGCTCCCGTTCTTCCCCCATTAGCCCCAAACAGGGCTCACTAAGATCAAGTGTGAAGAGGTCGTAGAACTTGGAGCAGGATGTTGCCAGATAGACTTTGTGTGCAAATACACGAGTGGAACCGCCCTGTAGAAGGAAAACCACATCTGCACACAGAGGCTGGCAGAAGAGGGAGTCAGGGCCCTCACCATCAGAGAGAGGCGGGTCTGGAATGCCCACTATGGGGCGTGGTGGGCGAGGGGGCAAGAAAGGGGCCTGCAGAAGGGGCCTCTGCACCTTTTTCAGGTGGGATTTCCAAAATTGGAGGTGTCGACGGGAGATGAGGGCAGCACGGATCGCATTGTCAAAAACATCTTTGACTCCAAATTGGGCAACAATACTCGTCTCATAGTAGGGGATGCCAAGTTCTTTCGCAACCTCGTGACCTCTTTCTGGGGGAAGGATGTCTGTTGGTTTGATGGGTCTGTAAGCCACAAAGATACAAAAGTGTTTGGGTTTTTAATAAAACAATGACCCTTTGACAATTAGTTAGACTTATATGCCATTGTGAAGCTAGTTTTTGCTGCTTATTAACTAGACAGAACTTTTATACAGTCATTTCATAAGCCACATTTGTGCTGCCACAATCTCAGTGTCTGTTAATGGCTGATGAAGAAGCTGTCTCACTTTGCTAACGGACGTCGAGCACGATTAACTGCATCCAGGTCAGCATAGCGCAGATCCAGCTGGCAGCCAACCAGGATGATGGGTGTTCGGGGACAGAAATGCTTGATCTCTGGGAACCACATGGTGCGAACATGGCGCAGAGAATTGGGATTTGCCAGAGAGAAGCAAAGCACCACGACATCGGACCTACAGGAAGAGATGAGGGGATAAAATTTACACTGTTCAGTAAATGACAGTCAAGAAAGGACACGCTGCATTTGCTCAACTGATGGAAACAGAAAAGAGAAAAAAACATTTGAACATATCATTTTAGGTTTAAAATTAGCAACGTGCATATGGAAGATGCTTCTTCAGCTTCTGCAAGGCATTGTGGAAGCATGAACAGTGCAAAGGTGAAATCTAAAGCTTTGGGGTGGTTATTGTGTGGCTTGTCTCTTTTTCTGTCTGTTGTGTAAATCTCCCTAAGCCCTTACAGGCACCATGGACCACAAAGAGAGGCTAAGAACAGATCAGGATAAACACGCATGCATGCACACTCAAACACACACACACACACACACACATCCATCAGATGTGTTTGAGCTAGCAGATGGAAGCACTTTTAACCAATCTCCGGTGCTGATATTTCATTCAAGTTGATGCTTGTGTGTCTGTTTTTAGATAATGTTTGATTTGTGTCACTGAGATGGATCATTTAGTTCTAGAGCAATGCTGACGGAGCAAAAAAAATTAAAAATCCTAAATCATCAACCTCTGCAGCACCAAAACAGGGTTTTTTTTACCCAGAGCCGTAAAAGACTGTTCAGATTTATGTAACGTGTGCTGAATTAATCATTGACAGCTCAAAGAGGATAAAAATAATCAGCCATTTTTTCAGATTTTGACATTTTAAAATTGGATTTGTAGTACAGTTCAGCACTAATGGCTGCAAGCTGGAGTAAATATTTGTACTTTCTCAAGCTTTTTCTCAAGGTTAATGAGGTGGTTTATCTGTTGCTTTTCTTTTTCTACTTGTTACACCACGCCAGTGTTTATGCATGCTGGAACAGATCATAAAGCCAAAGAGATGTAAAGTAGGACCATGGTAGGGATGAAGAAGAACCAAAGCACATAGACGAAGAAGAATAAAATTCCTATTGTGGAAAATGTCCTCAAGTAGAACAGAAGTATTGCACAGTTCACTATTGCATCTGTCCTCTTTGCTCTCTGGGAAAATAGGGGCGACTGAGTGAGCAGAAAACTGACACTCAGTAAAAGAAGTCCTGTTTCTCTGTGACAGTAGAAATATTCAGAGTAATCATTTTTTGTTGATTTTTGTTTTTTTAAATCTCCATTTGCCAGAGGAAAAAGAGAAAACTAACCTTCTCTATGTAAAATGTTTAATTACTTTGAAAGAATGTGTCCTTTCATTCCCTTTATTTATTGACTTAATTATACATGTGTTTTGTGTAGATATGAAATCCATGGTCTTCTTTACTTAATAATGTATTATCTGAAAGGTTTCCACCAACAAGGTCATTATTTAAAATATCTAGTCATTGCAGAAAAAACACACAAACTCAAATGTCAAAAGACCATTATTTAAACTGTTACGTGTGTACTCTTGCCGGAAAGCTATGTATTTTAAACTGACTATGTAGAGTATCAACATGAAATAATCTTACAATTGGAATGACATGACAGTCCACCTAAGTCTAAATAACTTTATATTTGTATGTATATGCACTGTCAAAAACATATTGTGTAAGAAACCTTGCTTTAGGCTACATTGTGGCCATGAACAGGATCATTTAAATTTTTCTGTGAGTCATATTGGTCCACTACTTATTTGCTACCGTTTTTAATGTATGACAAATGGCTCTAATAGAAACTGGCAAGATAAGACTACTTAAAATTCGCCACAACCCAAATACAAACTGGCTCAGGTTAAGTTTAGCTTAGCCTATTTTCAGGCAGTTATTGTTTTTCCAAATAGAATGTTCCACTGAAAGCATGTGACAGTCAGACAATGTGATGTTTTGAGTTTTGATATCAACAAAAGCCTACAGAATGGAGCGGGGTGTTCTGAGGGTGACAGAGCCACAGCATGTAAAGGGCACGGAGAAGACTAATGATGGAGGTGACAGTGGTTATGAGCGACACTAGATGTGGATGGTAAAGTGAAAAACTGAAAAGGAGTCTGAGAATATATGGCAACGATGAAGATAAAGAGGGAGAATCTCAGAGGTGGTGACACCAGGGCGGCACAGTGGGATAAAACAGCTGAGTAGGCGCTGTGTATTCATCAGCTGACAGCAGGCTGACGGGAGAATGGACACGCATGAACACAAACGAATATGCCAAACACACACACAAGCACAAAGCAGAGACTGCCTTGCAAACGCACAGATACAATGACTGTGGGAAAAGGAAACAGAGGGGAGAATAAACTCTGGTTGCTGTTTTTTTCTTTTTCAAAAATTACTTTTTCAACTTTCCCAGGAGATCGTGAAGTTTTATGTTCTAAATGGACCGATTTCATGTATTCTTTTCAAAGCTTCTCAACCAGTCTAAGCACCATAAAACATACAGAAAACATTTATATTGCTCTAATTAGTCTACTTGGTTTAAAATATTGACTCCATCAATCACAAACTCACAAATAAATGAACACATTAAAGGGAATAGGGAGTGCAGTGTCTTGTGCAAATAAACTGGCAAGTGGACCCGCAATCTTCCCGATGCCAAATTACTATTCTGTCTTCTGAGTACTGTGATTTTCTTGTTAATCAAAGTATTTGCTGATCTTATTTTAGCAATAAGTGCATTTGCATTTCATGCCAATAAAGCAGCTTTAACACAGGGATGAAGAATAAGAGGATAGAGTGGTGATCCAATCGTATCTGGTGGAGGAAGGATGTAACAGCTTAAGGCTCTTCAGTCAAAATGTATTGTAGATAAACAAGTTAGAGGGTTTATGCCTAATGGAACATTTATTGAAGTAAAAGTTTGGTTTGTTGATAAAATTAATAAGTTATATTCCGAATTCAGATTGTTCTTGTACACATTGGGATAAATCTGGTGCCTCATGATCTGAGGAAAACTGTTTTAATGCCAATCTCTATTTGTAACTATTTGTAACTTTAAGTGCTGTCTGTTCCAGCATAATTAACCTTGTAGTAAGCCTGCAACTGTGATACTGGGTCACTAACTAAGTTCTGACTGTGAGACTGCTTGAAAATCTACGTGTTGTGTTTTTAGTGCTGTGTGTGCTCACCTGCCATAGGCAAATCGCCTGTCTTTGTGATGATCCCCAAATGTGTCCCATAGCCTTAAGGAGACACTGACCTCGTCCACGACATCGCGAGATCTCTCTAATACCTGCAATGCAGAAACATATCCCTGTGACCAGGTTGCAGGTTTTCAATTCATAGCGAGAGTACTGTTTTAATAGAATTGAGGAATTGTCCAATTATTTGAGAGTTGGAAAAAGCAAACAAAGCACAAAGACAACATTTGTTTTCAGTGTTTAAATGAAATGGTGTAATTCACAGTGAACACAATTAGTCCAAGCACCGTGCTAGAAGTGTATGCATAATAGTCTATTTGAGGCTTTTCTTACAGCATTGTTCCATACGTGTGTGTGTGTGTCTGTGTGCGTGTGTGTGTGTGTGCCCACCTCCTGGCATACACGGTACTGGTCGATGGCCCAGACGGTTGGCACGTGGGTGGCAAGCAGCTGATATTGTGTGAGTGTGGCATTGCAGGCTCGGGCACAGATTAGCCTAGTCTTGCCTACTGCATTGTCCCCAACCACCACACATTTAATAGTTTCCACATTGGGCCGCTCATAGTCTGTGTCTATATCCATGGAGAGGGCCCTGGAGAGTAGGAGAAAGGAAAGAGACAGGAAGGTAGTAAATAGGTTAATTCAGCAGTCACGGAAAATGAGAATTAAATTTAGAGCACTGCGGGAGGAATGACATTGCATTTTAACAGTACAAGAAACTGGCATCAGGCAAGGCAGCTTCAAACTCTCTTCCAACCCACCCATGGGAAACCATTGTTGAAGCACTGAGCCTCCATAGCCACACTGCCCACTGTACAGCAACTTCTGCCAAAGCACACAACAGACCACATGGTTCAAAGGCTGTGGAACAGAGGGACAGCAGTGCTATTTCGGTACCAGTGCAAAGAGAGATGGGGAGACAAAAAGAGACCTCCCTTGAGGTCACTGTCCTTTCTCCCCTTGCCCATATTACACTCCCTTGCCTGCTCCCTTTTTGATGCATGGGCAGCATTTTTCCTTCATATTAAATGCTGTGCAAGAAGATGTCATATAACTTGGTGGAACCAAAAGAAAATGTTTAAAAAATAGTTAATTCATCATTAAGCAAGTGCAATTATTATTTAACACATTTCCTTTCCAAATTTTCATCATATTTTTCAGATGCACAGAAGGTAAAGGAACAATAATACTTTTGTTTTGAAAAATTATCACCTGTCAGCTCAGACTCAGAACAAGATGTAGGCGGTTATGTACAGGTTGAATTACTCCCTCTATCAAAATCAAATTCCAAAATGAGATGCCCACCAAAATCTTCTCTGCATACATCATCATTTTAGCCATTTATAAAAAATTCTACCTGTTGAAAATTCCTAGAATGCTCTGCTTCTTTGCAAAACCCCCGTCATCCCAGAAACACGCTGAAAGCTACAGTCAACTAATCAGTCATTGCATCCACTTGTTCGGAGAGCCGCGGCAGGGCCATATAAATAGAGCATCTGAAAGATTAATAAAGGCCTTCACTTGTTATTCCATTGACGTGGATACCAGTGCAACACTTCAGTCGAGCAGTGACAGACACCCGCGGCTAAAAATGGCAGCTATTCATCACACACATAAACCATGTGTGCGCACAGCTATCCAGCCATGACCTGCTGTCCATTCGTTCATATTCTTACATCATCTCTGAAAAATAAGTGCAGCTCTAAACACAAAATATGTTCATTTTGCTTAACAATCAGAAAAGCATGTGCAAGATCAGTGGTTCCCAGTCAAAGGGAGTCTTATCTACCAGGATCTACTGCTCAAATATACGACATAGATTTAGTCTTATAGGCAAGGGGGAACATACTGTCAGCTGAATATGACTTCCCGAGTTATAAATATCCTTTTTCCTTTGCGACCTGTGTGGCTGACACCTTTAGAGACACGTACTACATGCAGAAAAGAGAAATAGAAGAGGCAATAAAAAGGTAGCACAACCTTGCAGTTACCTAAAAGCATCCTGCCTAATGGCCATGGTAGCTCAACACTTGCTGCCACGAACATTTAGCAATACGTCTCTTGGTTTTGTGTTCGGATAGAAAAGGATGGCAGGCCAACTGCAAAATCTAACATGCTACCAGGTACTAGCAAACTGATGGAGAGAGGATGCTCATCACTGTTGCCTGAGCAGATAGATGTGCGGGGGGGCGGGGGGGTATTAATCTTACAGAGAAAAAGGACTCTCGCTAAAGGGGATCAAACCTGCAATAACAAAGACTGCTCAGGGGGAACAAATATCTGCTTTTCCTTCTGATGCTTCTTTTTGCTACCTAAAGCATAATACTGTCAGACAAAGAGAGAGAAAATACAGAAAAAGGCACAGGAGAGACCAGAGTACAGTTTATAATCCTTCACTACTGACCCATTGGAATCTGGATGTCAGAGCATGCATGCATGCGAGAATGCATGGGCGTGTGGTAATGAGCTTAGAGCCATGCATGCAATGATGTAACTAGGCTGTATTGGTGGTGATGTGGACAGTTTCTAAAGCGGAATTAAGAATCCCGACTCCTTGCCATTATCCAGAGTCTATGGCTGCCCAAAAAGCTCCCACAGACTGATACACCACTCCATTCAGCAGCTCAAAGGTTTTTACAGCTCACTTAATGTGCACTAAAATACATTACATACATATCTTTGCCTCAGTGAAAGACAAGCAGAGACTGAGCAGATCGGTGCAGATCGGTAGCAGAAAGATAAGCTGTAAAGATCGGATTTCATTTTTAGCCGACATCCTATAGTGAACCGTCTCTACACGTCTAGACTGCTACTGTTAGCTGGTGTCATTTTCCCAACAAGGGAGTAAAGCAGTCTGCAAGGACTAAGACAGGTTGGGATAAAATGTGCCATCATGAAGTTCTGTCTTCCACATGCGCAACACTGTAACAAGAACAGTGGTATCTACCCCATATGATTCCTCTGGTTTATTCAGGAATGCTGTACATTTAGACTAAGTGTGTGTGTATGTGTTTGTGTGTGCTTGTAACTTTAGGGCCAATCAGACAAAGTAACCCCTTTTTCTGTGTGTGTCAGTGTGGCTTTACATCAAGCACAGACATAGTATCATGTGTATTTTTACAGTTTCTATCATCCTTTTTTAAGTGAAGTAAAAAAAGTTCCTCTGAATGTGTTCAATCATCCTTCTTTTCTTGTAGGTCGCAGCGGTTTGTTCCCTAACTGGACCGACTTATCTCCATGTAATTCTCCATCTGCCTGTTTTTTTACCCCCTCAGATTCTGCATCACACTCCCCATCACCTCTTTTATTAGCAGTCATCTGGCTATCTATAACCTTAAACTGTTCTGAATGGGAACCGAGCAAAAGCGTTAAGCCAGGAGCCCTCCCACACTCACCCATCCCCTCCATCCTTCTCTTTGTTATGTAACAACTTTAGGGATCCAGTGTCGGCAACCACTCGTCCCAAAACCCTCCCTGAACTCTAGTCACAGCTTGTCTTGTCCGCTTCCTCGAGGCTACTGTCCATCCAACTGCAGCGATGAAACCTGCCTCCCTCTGCCCTTCAACCAGCCTTGACAAATTGATGAATGGATAAATAGTACAAATAATGTGCCCTTATGTGAATCTATGGGGTTTAAGCACTGAAAGTGTCCGTATGTTATTTTTGGCGCTGTCCTAAAAAATAGCCCACTTGTGAACGTGTGCGTGTGTGTGAGGTGTGGATTTTTAAGACCCTGAATGACACAGGCACAGCTGGCACAGGCTGGTTGCATAACCTGGTTTGTTTCTGGAGGGGTAATAGAGGACCTCAGACTCACATGCACAAGCGGAGACACGCATATGTAACATACACGTATGCATGTCTGTGTTTTTTCCTCATGGGCTACAGATGGTGCAGGTATTAATGCATCCATATTGAGCATTATGTGCATTTATACGTGTATCATGAATGAAAGGGCGTCTCTTCCCACTGCTGCAATAAGGCTTTGTAAAGAGAGACAGACTCAATCTTCATGCCCTCATTTCCTTTCTCACTGCCCAACTTCCTCCATTTGCCCCATTTTAGGTCTACTTTTTCCTATCGTCTCTCGTGTTGCACTAACATATTTTTCTCTCTACTTCTCAATTCAAACTATTACACTTTTAAAAATTAACTCCTGCAAAGTTTATTACAGTTTCTCATCAACACTGATATTGTATTACTCTTTCCCTCCCACACCCCTGCCCTCTTATTCCATACACATCGTCACATCCTAAATTTCACTACAACATTATTAATAAAGGTGAATTTCAAGAAGGATACATTTTAAACATATTAAACTCTGGATCCTACAAAACATAGATCAGTAAAATGGTAAAATGGATCTTAGTCATCAAACAGCAGCAGCTCCGATCATTCTTTAAAGAGAAGAGCTTTACATTTCATGTTGGAACATTCTTAAGCATAGTCACGATTTCTAGCGTTACAACATCTGTTTATCTTTGGTAACAGCCTGTAGCAGAGGTCAGAACATTTAAGCCAGCCATATAATGCTGGTTCACACTTCCATGTGGGTTTGTCAGTGTTGCACATTGTTATCTCTAAGCTGTTGACACAGTTACAGCTTTGAGCATAATGCCTAATCACAACAATAAGTAGATCTGTTTCAAATTCATCTAACAGTTCTCATAGGGAGTCGGGACCACCATGATAAGTTAACAATGGAGTAAAAGTCCTAACACAAAACATGTTAGTGTGTGTGTGAATGTGGGCATAAGTAGACACTGGCAGGAGCTGTGGTTATTGGACGCAGGAGAACAAAGAATACAGTTGGTGTTTTTCTTAAAGACATACCACATTGTGACTGTGAACAGACATCTTTTCAGAGGAAGATATTGGCAGAAAAACAAAGATTGCACATTCTATTTTTTCCTGCCAATTCCTTTTATGTAACTGCATCCTGTAGATTTAATTAATGGAATAGAAATAAAGTCTGAGAAGCACTCCTTATGCAAACATTTTTTGGGCAGCTGGCGGTGAGAGGCTCCTTCATCAGCCACTCAGCTACCTGCGTAACACAATGCTTTAATGACGTCATGGTCAAAGGATCATTGTTAAAGATGCATGCCCGTATATCTGTCTCAAAAGAGAGCATGTGGATTTTGCTAGTCATCTTTTGTCACGGTATTGATCCTCTCTCTCACAATGTGAATACTTATCCAGCAATGCAGAATGACTGCACTTATCAATGAAAAGAGCCCTCATATGCTCCCTCTTTCCGCAGCCATTCATAACCATCTGGCTCATTCATAGTTTTAGTTTATTTATTTATTTGCACAACAAACCTGGCGATAAATTGTTTTGACCGACATGTCTGGGATATTTCGACTCATTTGCAGCAAAACGAGGCGATGTCTTTCGCATTGCTGAAGGCAGGTGCATATCAGCCTACATCCCCAAAAGATGCGCTGATAACTCTTGTGTAATGCGCCAAGCCCATCCAATGCACAATGACACTATGTCAAAACGAAACATGTAGCCCGAGTACTCTGCACAGCACGTGTGCGAGCTCAAATTTAACCATACGCTTCCGGTGTAATATCCCTTGTTCAGAGAAGTCCCCGCTGGTTCATGTCACATAGAAATCCTCAGACTCGCGTTAGCGTGCGTGACTGTGATCTTCTGTCTGCCATCCAGAACCAGCAGCGGCTACAAACCAGCTTACGTAACCAGTCTGTGCCAGCTGTGCCAGTGGCAGGCGGGGTCTCAGTATGTTTGCAATAACGCAACTCAATAGGGAAATAATAAAAAATATCAAAGGAAGTCCAAGACAACACTAATGAGAGCGAGGCGGTCTCCGATGACAAAATCACCAAGCGAGATTCTGATCGATCGGTGTGGATTGCTTTGTGCATGACAACAAACAGCAAGAGGCGCATGTGACCATCAAGAGGGGTCCCTACCTTCCGACGGTTCCGGAATTGACCCACATGCCACTCTGCTGGTGGTCACTCAAACCGGACAGAGACGCACTCTAAGTGAGCAGGTGATCGCTGTGATCCCGTTCTTTGTCACAGTGCACACACAGCGAGCCACAGGACCTCTGCCCTGACACATCCTCCTCCTCTTACTTCTCCCCGCTGCCTTCTCGGTCCAGCGTCCCCCAGAGCACAACAACTGTGCGGCCGCGAAGAGCCCAGGCGATGCTGCCCTTATTTCTACACGGACATTACTTTGAATTCAATCTAAGCATAACTTAGACCGAGCGATTGTCCTGGTCTAAGCCACCCCCTTCTCTGTTGTTATTTCCCCAGCTGATTTAATCAAGGACACGCCTCCACGGCTCTACGTCACTGCCCCCAAACGCCCAACTCCTCTTGCGGTGCGTTTAAGTTCAATAAGAAAACTGGTATTTTGGCAGTGGTGCAGCACCTGAGCTATCTCCCCCATCAGAACCACCAACAGAAGTGGTTAAACTTGACATATTTTAAAAAGACAACAACAGGTGTAAAGCAAGGAGTTCATAGATTGGTAAAACATATATTACAACATAATGAAAAAAGACAAATTAAAGAGTTTACACTTAAATCGCAATTCCAATTTTCAGGGTACTGTGTAACCTAATTTAATAGACTGGATGACTTCTAAACTACCCATTTCACTTAAAAGTGAGTACACAAATCTAAATAAACTACAAGAGGCTTTAAGATTGGGGTATTGGTGCTGGACAGTAATATGTCAAAGTTTACTCACAGATCAGAAAACAGGACCCAATCATATCACTCTAATTTATGAAAATCCCGCCCCAAAATTGCTCAGCCTCCACCCTGTTCACTCCATCCCTTCTTATACAGCATTTATTAAGCAGAACAGTCTACCTATTAAACAGCCTACCTGATCTACTCTGAAGTAATATAATAATTAAAAACCACAAAAAAGCATCTAATTATGCATTACATGTTAACATTTTTAATAGTTTTCACATTTACATGACTATTCCCCATAATCTTTGCAAATATAACTAAACAATATTCAAAATCTATTCACATATGTCAATTTACTCAAATCTATTGAAATTAAGATAAAGTTATGCAACACTGTTGATATTACTCATTGGCAAAGGAGAGATTTGTTTTCCAATAGTTATTCTGGGTGCCCAGGCATAGCAACTACCACATAGCAACTGCACTGCATCTGAAGCCAACATGGGAGAGCTCAAACAGTGGATCATTGATAGGATCATGGAAACTACCAAGCTTTTGCCTTTTCTAAAATCTGGGAATTTATTTCAGGAATGTTAAGCTGTTCCAGAGAAGAAAAATGCTCCAATGTGGCCAAGTGGGAAAAAAACCCTACTTGTCTATAAAGAATTTAATTTCAAAATAAACTTCAATAGCTGTAAATACTTCTGTGAAAGGAACTTTTCATGGTTTGATCTGTTGCTCATTAAATGACTCTCTACAATTCGAGACGAGTAGGAAAAGTAATTTACAAGTTAGAGTTAATTAAACTCTTTTAATTTGGGACGTTTAATGTTGGGCCATATGTGGATCCTGGACGGATTATCTATTAACTTTCTTTCAGCCTGAGAGGAGACTGAAGACAGACATCTACTGGTAGAATTGGGTACTGATCGCTGTCGAGGAAGGCATCAGATCTCAGTGGCACATTAGTCAGTGCCCTCACTTCAGGCTACCACAACAATAGTTCTCATAATCGTGACAGATCTCTGTGTGGTTTACTCACGGCAGTCAACCAGTGTGTTTAGCAAAGTGACAAAGAAATACACCACAGCAAACCAAACCACTGTACCCTAAACCCTAATGACCAAAAAGGCTTTTGCGCTACTATCACCACATCCTTGAACAGTTCTAAATATTACGTTATGTGGAAACTTGATCCAAAAGGCAGCAAAATTCCAATAAAATAGAATAAAGAGAAGATCATTGGACAACTGGGGGGTGTGAGCTTTAAATGCTCTTGTTCTGTGTTGTCTTGAAGCCCTGAGAAAATACTGCCCCCTGACCTGGCTGGCATGGCCAGAATAAAACAGCATGAAAGATAGGCTGGAATGCTGCTGTAGAAAGCAGGGACTCAGCATCACTGGCACTGAGAAGGAACCATGGAGAGGCAGCCCCTTTGTTGGAGTGGTGAACTTGTGGGAGAACTCTCTAGTGGCACAGTCTGAGGTGATGTCTGGCCTTTTCAGCTACAGTACGACTAAAAAAAATAGGGCTTTCTTCACAAGCTTAATCACTCTTTTAATGGCTGTGTTGAAAGAGTACTCCCATTGCTTTTACACATATGTAAATTAAAAGTGAGTTCTATCTGCATTGCATTTATTAAATCCAAAGTCACTGTTAATCAAGAAATGCAACACAATTTAAGTTTAATATTTGTTAAAGTTCACAAAGTTGAGGAGAATTTTACTTTGCTGCAGGTAAAACAAAAATTAGAGCTCCCTAATTGATGAAGAGGAACTGATCTCCAAATGGCAAAGAATGAAGCATCTAAGATTCTATTTTAACATGTAAATAAAGATTTGAGTGTTGTTTGTGTTTTTTATTTAAATAATGATAGGAGCAAGTAAAAGCTTAGACTCTTCCAATTGATTTAAGCTTCTGAATAATAATTCAATTTTCAGGGCTATAACACTGTAAGACCAAACATTCTGATTTCCCAAACATTGTCTTGCCTCGAGCTTCTCAAAACAAATGCTTTTCATTCTGAAATGACTCCAACCGACAAGGCTTAAAAAAGACAAAGGAAAAGGTCAATTGTTTCTTTAGTTCCTGATGCAATTAATACATGGCAGTTTGCAGGAAGAATTTTGAGTTCAAACTGAGGTCTAAAAGTTAGAGGTTAGGAAACTGTCAGAGAAATCCACAAACAAGTACTTGAAAGAATAATACAAAAAAGGGGACCTGAGTGTATAAGGCCATGAAGAAAAGTTTGCAGAAATGGTTGCTGGTGCTTTATTCTACTGTGCAGTAGCACCCAGAGTCTTCATAGAAGATTCAATTTTTCATTTTAATAAACATGGAACATTTTAAGAGGCCACTTTTGCCCTCATCTCATACCCCTCTGTCCACTCCCCCATTGACCCCATTTTCACCCCAACAACTCATCCGAATATCCAACAGGCCCGCTCACCCCCTGCCCCAGCTCCGCACAGGAACTGCTCCAAAGCTGTCAAAACACACAGCTTCTCATACTCCCCACGTCCACATGGAGTTTGCTATAAACACACACCATCCGAAGCTCCAACAAACACACACACACACACACTCTACATGCAACCCGTTCATTGCCACAAGTAGGTCAGAGCTGCAGTGGGTCTTCCAAACACCTCCTTCATCACCATGGAACTAATAGCAGTATCAAAGATTAAATTCACCCTTCAGCTCTTACACACACACATGCAAACACAGAGTGCATGCCATACATGTGTATATCTAAAGAATGAGGTCATTTTTTACTGTTTACTTGCCAAGGCAGATAACATTGGGACTTTTTCCCCCTTTTTTAGAGACAAATGAAAAAATGTAACAAGTGAATTTGAACTAGTTGCCCTGGAAAGAGAAATCCAAAGTCAAAGGGCAAGAGTAAGAATGAAATAACTAAAGGCTGTTGAAATGAGATTGTGGGAAACTGGAATTAAAAAATGGTGAGCGGTGGGAAAAACAATAAAAAAAATCGACAAATGCCCAGAGTATCCAGCATGCAGGTTCTGGCAATACTCTGCTGAGCCTGCATGCTGGTATGAGATAGAGAGGGACAACAGGCCAGAGCACAAGTGAAAGGGAGACAGACTGATGATACTGTTTACTTTCTTTGTTATCGCTCGGCTGTTTTATCTGGAATCCCTAGGAAAAGTCCACGTGTGGATCCAGCTGTTGTTGCCTCATTATAACCTAATGAAGCCGCTGCCAGCATCACCGCCCTACAGAGCTCAAGATTTGAAACAGCAGCCAGTTTGCACAATCCTAATCCCAAAAAGCTTTGTGTTTGAAAAACTTTGCAGCATCCACTCTAATTTTAACACCGGTCTATAAACATCTCTTTGCTGTTCGCGTTCAGTGAAAAAATGCTGTTCCGCTGTTTTCTGATAACGGTTTCTAGCTGCTGAACATTTCCTAATGCACCAAATCTTGTAAATGGATGAAAGGTGTGGACTGTAAGCAGCCCAGTCTAACATCCACAATAAAGCCATGTCGTTGTAGTAAATGCAGTATGGAGTGCAACTTGAAACCTTCCATTAATTTATGAGGTTTGCAAATCATTGCATGATGCTGTTGATTATATTCCATGCCTTATCAGTTTTTATTTGGTTTTTGGGTTGTAAATATGACCCCCTTTACTGCGTTTAGTGAGGATTTGTTTCACCAGGTCAAACTTTTGCTTGTCACGATGGGCCGTGACGGTGGAATATGTGAAGAATGCAAAGTGGCTTGAGGTCCTTGGACAAAGGCTGTTGAAACAGCTGATAGGATGGAGAGTGGGTTGAATGGGAGGGAAGCTGGCACTGCAGAGGGAATATGGTGTGGAGGGGTTCTCTATTCAATTGCCCATAGTCAGCCTGAGAATAAACAGACCTCTGATTATAATATTAATGCCTACTTAGGTGTTTGGCAGTATGGTGCCTGGCTTCCACAAAGTAGCGCCTGGAGTGAACATGACCACACTGTTACATGTTTCACACAGTCCATTGGTTTCCTCAGACTCCAACAATTGCAGATATGTGGCATGTGCATTGCAAACACAGCGACCCTGTGAGCCTAACCCACCAAACACATGATCATTTTAAATCACCCTGCTTCCCTGTGGGTAGAGTGTCTGATGTGAAGCTATCAACACCTTGTCAAAACTTCCTCAAAGTGCAGGTGAGAAATTCCAGTTATTGCACACTCTTTGTGATACATGGAATATTTGTTGTTTCAGTTCAAAATGTTGAAGGTTTGAGTGGATGCTTTGAATTCTCGAGCAGCACAAATCACCTCCTTGTCTGCCCCAGAGTTATAATCTGTATATGTCAGTGTCCCAGTATGGGTCGAGAGCAGACATGCCTCGATGTGGTCAAATACCTGTATAGACACACACACTGTGGATTTGCATGCACACAAAGTGATCTCAAATCAAACCAATAGGAAACACGCAAAGACACAAATAAACAGGCGTTCCAAATTAGAATCTCTATAACCACATAAATTCATGATCA